AAAACTCTACACGCGCCCCTTCCNTTGGCCGAGCCCCTCGNCACCGTATTTTTCTTTCTTCATTTGTAGAGGGCCGTGTTCTTCTGTGGGACTATAATAAACCCCGCTCCCGAGAAATTGACAAGCCATTATGGGATTTCTTTCTGGGGGGAGACCCCCTTGTTTTAACAAATCAAATTTGCACACCCATATTTTTCCTGGGAACGGGTGATTAATTGTGGTAACTTTGACACATTTTGGCCCTAAGAAAAATCTTTGAAATTATGGGGGCGTTATATTTCTGAAAATTAAAATCAGCTTTGTAATTTAGGACCCCTCCTTTTTCTTGGGCTAAAAGCCAATTATCGCCAACAATGTTTCCTTTGTTCTTTCCAAAAAAACTTTAGTTCCCTCTAAGAATTCCAAGTTTTTATCAAGTTTGTTGAAAGTTTTTCAAAGTGCAAATTTCTAAAATTATAAGGTTTTGGTTTCGATTCGACCAATTCTTTAATTACCACATGATTTCATCCAAGTATAAGTCATAGTATTTGCTGAATATATCCCAATAGGCAGGACAAAACTTTTTTACATGCTTTTTGACTACCAGTAATTCATTGAAAACCCAATCAAGATTTGCTAAAACATCGAATCTTTTATCACCTTGATATTCTTTTCTAACTTCTATAAACATATCTTGAATTGATTGTCGTATTTTTTCGAACAGAAATTCTTTATAGCCTCTTTCAATAACTCTAGTGGATATAGATCCATTCATTATCTCTTCGTATAAACCATTGTTGGTTGGATATTCTATCGTTTTTGAGCCAGAATCTGAGAATCTTGACATATTTTTCGAACTTGGAAGCTTTTTAATTGCAGAATTATGTAGTTCCATTTCTTTCTTCTTAATTATATTTTTAATGGCAATAATTTTTAAATCCTCTCTTTCTTCTATATCAATGATTTTAAACAGTCTTATTACCAGCGAAGCTTGACCTGCTCTAACAATTTCAACGACATCATAAATTAGTGCTTCAAGTAATTTATTGAACTTTACAACCAAATCATTGGCTTTACTGAAAACTTTTTGCACTGTCCTTTGAACATCATCTGTTGATGCTTTTGCCATTACAGTCATTTGATCTTGAAAGTCACGAGTTTTGGTAAGTAAGAAATGGATTTGCAGCAGATATGGACATCCTGTCTCCAACGAATCACCTTCTAACTCAGTATCAAGCATTTGGTCAACGGCTGAAACTAACTCATTATACCTAACAATTTTGTTATAAATTGAAGAAGTCATATCGATTATTTCATAAACCTTTGTAGCATTGAAGATAACTTCATACCTGGATATCGATGAATTATTTTCACTACTTAGCTTATTGACATCTTCAAGTTTTTCCCTTATTGTTTTCACAGAATCTTGAGATATATTTAATAGTTCCAAACTATTCTCAACTAATTCATAATACTTATCGGATTCTTTACTCAATTGATATTCTAAGGTTGATTTTTCCTTTTTTAACTGATCTTTAATAAACTTTACCCTTTCTAATGAAAGATCATGCTTTATCAGATCTGAAACTTTTTGTAGATTCTCTGCTGAAGATGCCATTCTTTATAAGATTCTTAATGATTATAATGCAGTTGAATATGATACAAAAGATATCAAATTTTGTTCGGACAATCAATCCACCTAGGTAATTCCCTTATTTTCTATCTTACTATTCAATTGTTTGTATATGGAGATATATAAATTGATATTAATAATGGTAGAGAGGATTAGATCTCTATTAAGTACCAGTTAATAAGGTCAAGTAAACTTATTTGAAATAATTTTGCTTCCCCTTGCGTAAACGTTCGTTGATAATGATGGGGCATGGCGTCACTATATATTGACGATTATATTGAACATGAAGTAAGAAAACACCATTGAAGTTGACCTTCCATCATCGTCAGCAGTTGTGAACCCATGGTTTTAGATTTATTATTATTTATCGAATATTTTATTTTATCTTTTAAAATTTTAATTAAAAACTATAGTTACATATTATTTTAATGCGAATAAATATGAAATGAGAAAGAATTCTATGAGCATTCCAATTAAGAGAATACTAGGAGTTGTAATGATGAGTACACGAATGATAAATCCCAAGATATTAAAAAACCTAATGCCATTTTATTTTTTACCTGCTCTTGGCTATCTATCATCAACGTAATTAACCAGAGCACATTTCACATGCTTCTGGATTGTCGATGGCACAGGCAATAACCTTAGAATTAAAAATATCAAATTCGGTAGTTTCTTTGGTTTCGGTGGTTTCTACGACAGCAATAGTTTCGGTTTTTACCTCAGTTACAATAGTCTCTGATTTCTCAATAGTTAAAGAACCCATTTCAGTAACTAAGGTTGTATCGGCAGATTCTGCAGTTTCTGTTATTGAAACTTTAGGTGTAACCTCCTTTTGAGAAACATAATCACCTTCAATGAATTCACGAGGGTAGTATGTTGGACGTTTTAAGTTTTCTAGATCGGCTGTAGACTTGGCAGCTTGGTCAGCAACAGATTTATCGATGGTAAACTGAATAGCAGCAGAAGCAGCTTGAGTTCTCAAGTAGTACATACCAGTCTTTAGACCCTTCTTCCAACCGTAGAAATGCATACTTGTTAGTTTTCCCATAGTTGGAGCACGAATGTGGATATTCATGGAATGTGATTGATCAATAAAAGCAGAACGATCAGTAGCCATATCAATAATTGTCTTTTGAGAAATCTCCCAAACTGTTTTGTATAAATCTTTCAATTCTTGTGGAATGTTTGGTAAGTTTTGAATGGAACCATTGTCAGTAATCAAATGTTGCTTCATTGATTCATCCCAGATACCTAAATCAACTAAATCACGTAATAAGTATGGGTTAACAATTTGGAACTCACCTGACAAGACACGACGTTGGTACATGTTAGATGTGAATGGTTCGAAACATTCATTATAACCTAAAATTTGAGAAGTAGAGGCAGTTGGCATAGGTGCCAATAACAATGAGTTTCTAACACCATGTTTCTTAATTTGTTCTTTCAATGTGGCCCAATCCCATAGATCACTTGGTTTTCTGTTCCACATATCGTATTGTAATACACCTTGAGAGACTGGAGAATTTGGATAGGATTCATAATAACCTTCCTTTTCAGCTAATTCACAAGATGCTTCCAAAGCAGCATGGTACATAGTTTCAAAAATATGGGTATTCAATTCCTTAGCTTCCTTAGATTCAAATGGAATACGTAATAACATGAAAGTATCAGCTAAACCTTGAACACCTAAAGCAATTGGTCTATGTCTGAAATTAGAGTTTCTAGCTTCTTCAACGGGGTAGTAGTTACGATCAATGACCTTGTTCAAGTTACGGGTGACAACCTTAGAAATTTCATGTAACTTCTTGAAGTTATAGGTTTGACTCCTTCCATCTTCAGAGACTTCGATGAATGCTGGTAAAGCAATAGAAGCCAAATTACAAACTGCGGTTTCATCAGGAGCTGAGTACTCGACAATTTCACAACATAAGTTGGATGATTTGATAGTACCTAAATTCTTGTGGTTAGATTTTGTATTACAAGCATCCTTATATAACATGAAAGGAGTACCAGTTTCAGTTTGAGCTTCCAAAATAGAATACCATAATTTTTGTGCCTTAATGGTCTTTCTACCACGACCTTCAGCAACATAACGGTTGTATAATGCTTCGAATTCTTCACCGTAAACTTCTTCCAAACCAGGAGCTTCACTTGGAGAAAATAGAGTCCAGTCACCGTTTTCTTCAACACGTTTCATGAATAAATCTGGGATCCATAAAGCTGGGAAAAGATCTCTTGCACGAATTTCTTCCTTACCATGGTTCTTTCTGATATCAATGAAATCGAAAATGTCTGCGTGCCATGGTTCCAAATATAGGGCCATAGCACCTGGTCTTTTGTTACCACCTTGGTCGACATAACGAGCAGTGTTGTTGAAGACACGAACCATAGGGATTAAACCATTAGAAGTACCATTTGTACCAGCGATGTAAGAACCAGTAGCACGAATATTGTGAATATGTAAACCGATACCACCTGCAGTTTTTGAAATCATTGCACATTCTTTCAAAGTATCAAAGATACCTTCTAGAGAGTCATCTTTCATTGCAACTAAGAAACAAGATGACATTTGTGGATGTGGAGTACCAGCATTGAATAATGTTGGGGATGCATGTGTGAAATATCTTTGAGACATTAAGTTATAAGTTTCGATAGCGGCTTCGATATCTTCACCGTGGATACCAATAGCAACTCTCATGATCAAATGTTGAGGACGTTCGGCAACTTCACCTTTCATTCTTAATAGGTAAGAACGTTCTAAAGTTTTAAAACCGAAATAGTTAAATTGGAAATCTCTATCATAAACGATGGCTGAGTTCAATTCATCTTTATGTTCCATAACGATGTTGTATACTTCCTCGGAAACCAATGGAGCATGTTTACTATTTTCTGGATTAATGTAATGATACAAATCATCTACTACTTGAGAGAATAATTTAGTAGTTTGCTTATGCAAATTTGAAATAGCCAATCTAGCGGCTAAAGTGGCATAATCTGGATGAACAGTAGTCATATAAGCTGCTGTTTCAGCTGCCAAGTTGTCCAATTCGATGGTGGTGACACCTTCATAGACACCAGTGATGATACGTTGAGTAACTTTAACTGGATCAATATGGTTTGGATCTAAACCGTAACATAAACGAGAGATACGAGCAGTAATTTTATCAAACCTTACTGGTTCTTTACGACCATCTCTTTTATAAACATACATTGTTAAATACTTAGTATTATATTTGGCGTAAAGCTATGAGAAGGTGTCTAATATGAAAAGAATCCACACTTGATTATGAGAACAGCTAAACAATTGTAATAAATGAAAGAATGAAACTTATAGGAAATGAAAAAAATAAATTATTCGGATGGGAAAGAGAAAAAGAATTAATTTAAATCAATGGAACTTTATATATATTTGAAGATACTGATATTATTGGAAGGCAAATTATACGTTCTCATTACAAATATTACAATTTCATCTTATTAATAATACAAAGTGATAGAGGTTAAGAAAGATCAGAGGGAGAAAAAAAAAGTATAAAATATGACGCGAAACGCGTAAAATATTAATTATTTTATTTATTTATTTACAAAATGAATCTGGTGTTCTTCGAATTAATTTGATCTATCCATTTCTTTGTTTTACTCTGCGTTGCTTCATTTGACTTTTTACTGTTCAGTTTTTCACCTTTCCTCTCTAAGTTAGAGTGAATGTCCCTACGTTTCCCCAAAAATACAATATGGAAACAAATAGCAACAGAGGATGTAAGAAACACACGAGGATGGCCTGAGTGGGATGGATCGTTAGTTCACCCCATTAGTAAAGAAACTCTTTTGCTCTTTTTTTCTTCACCTTGAAAGCCTCACCAGTTTCAAGACTGTACTAATATAAAATATTTCCATGCATAATATGTAAATATTGAGACGCGTAAACACATAAATTAAATTAAATTAAATTAAATATAAATAAATAAATAAACAAATAAAAACGCGTAAATAAAAGTTCTCTATAGATCACTAGAGGTTAATTGGAACTACTAGGGTTTGACCTTAGCAACTAGAGCAATTCTATAACCAAAGATTTGATCTTTTGAGAAATGTTATGATAACAAACAACACGGAATATTGAACTTATTGTTTGTTATGCCTTAAAAATACTACTGATAATAACAATAATGGGAGATGAAGTTCTCTAATTATCCCACTTGGGGTTTCAAAATGGTTTCAGCGTGTACTCAAACAAATGAATATAATTTAAATTTAATACAAACCCTGTCTTTCCTATATGGGCAATCAATCAATCAATCAATCAGTATTTTTACAATTGTAATTAGAATATATCCATCTTGAATGTTAGTGTTTAGTCAATGTGGTTTTCTTGGTTTTTTACAAGTTCACTTCTACTGTAAAGAACAATTATCATAACATCTTGAAATTAATATTCTCGTATAAGTAGCTTTTAATCATTAACATTTACCTTTGGGGTTAATTGGATTTGATTATTTATGAGTGTAACAGTAAAAAATTTATTAAATAAAAGGTTGCTAGAAAATCATGATTTAGTACATATTAGGTTAGCTATCTAAAAGAAGTTCAACTTTGGGCTTGCTATGCTTTGTTCATAGTTGTCGTAATTATTGTTTGTACATTTTTGAGGTTTTACTAAAGTAACGACCTGCTTTCATATGGCGATCTAGTAGTCTTGCTTTTAAATAAGATATTACAAATACAATCCTATTTCTAGGTATTTGTGGTGATATCGATGTTTTGAAAATGTATTGCTTCTAATTTGGTTGTTTCTCACCATATAATTGAACTGAATATCTTGATATTCACCCTATGACTTAAATTGTATGTACATTACAGGGTCTATTTCTCTTCATTGAGATATCGGAGGAAATAACTGCAATTATGATCTATTGATTATCTACGGACACTTATATACTATAATAAATTATATACATTTCTGTTTATATATTTGTTGGTGGTTAATTTTCTTGCTTGCTTGTTTCTTTGTTTGGGAATATTGTTCTATTCGTTTGACGAACTATATATGCAGGTTGGGATTCATTGAGGTCTTGCTTTTAAAAAATGAAAAAACTCTTGATACATCCATAAATAAAAGGATTCATTTTTTTCTTGGATCTCATGAACATACTTGTCACTGCTATTGCACCAACAATAACCCCAGAAGCCATAAGCTACACCTTTCCATGTTTCATTTTGTATTTTTAGTTTCCAACCATCTCTTTCAAAGCTTTGATTTGTAAATTATTTGGTTCATGCTCATATAATATATCAACATATCTCTTAGCCATAGAGTATTCCCCTACCTTGTAGCATCCAATTGTTAAATAATATAAACACTCCCTTCTTCTTGATGGAGATTCTCTATATATATCTGTAAGAAGTTTAATACCCAATCTTGAATTATTCACATCATGAGATTTGACCAAAGCCCAAGCATAATTAAATCTTGATTGTAGCGATGCAGAATCTCCTCCTTCTGATATAACTTGTTGGCGTAAGATATCTAACTGCTCAGTTAGTAAGGGTTGATATGCATCTTCTAAAGTTGGTAAAAAATCTGACTTCGTCATTATTCTTATGATAAATTATACAACAGTGATACAAATTAGTTCACCTATTCTTACTAGCAAATTTAATCGATGCTTTACCTGTCTATAGTAAACCAAACCAAACCCTTTTGAATTACTATTCTGTTCTCTAAGTGGTTACTTAAATATCTACAATTTACATAATAAATTTTTTTGATTAAAAATTCGGTGAGAGCCCATTGATCTGACTAGAGATTTGGCAGAAAAACTAGAGGATATCCTTAACTGATCAGCTCAATAAGTGAACCATGATAAAATAAATTGATTCAGTGATAGTGATTATTTCTTAAAAGTTATACATAATATATATTATATTTGTATATTTATATATATATATTATATTTGTATATTTATATATATATATTAATATGAAATTATTATTGCAGTATCTATGAAGACCCATAATTGATTATTATTTAAATTAAGGGAAGAGAAGAAAAAATATAATTAAGAATCCAGTAAGTTTAGAATTAAAATAAAAACCTGAGGCTATTTTATTCAACCTCTTTTAATAACGATGGAGCAAAACTGAATATATTTAAATTTCCTTTTTATTCTGGTATTTCAGTTTTAATATTGTCATATAGTTCAAGTGCAGTTTCTTCTTTACCAGTTTTGAATGCATATTGAACCGGTTTCTTGTTATCATCCATAGCAAGAATACGGACAAATTTTTCACTTTGCAATGATCCTGGGAAGCCACTGTATAGTGTAAACTCCTTTAATAATGGTAAGTTTAAAATAACTTTCAACAACCCTCTTGATCTCATAACCAAACGTGTTTTTCCTGTTTCTTTATTCTTGTTAATTTTAATAATGCCTACACCTCTTTCTTTCCATCCACTTTTTATATCTGTCAATTGATATAGCTTAGTATTAACTTGGTAGATACAATCTTCAAGTTCTTCACCTGACTTGACATCTTGCTTTTCAAGTTTTACCATACCGTTCTCAGTTTTAGATTCTTCATTCAAACTTGATTCTTCTTGATTCTTGCTTTCTTCTTGATCATCTTTATCTTCACTATCTTTCTCTTCTTTTGTTACTTCATCTTTCTTCTTTAATACATTAAAACCACCACCAAATGACAAACCAGAACCAAATGAAAATGGTTTTACTGGCTCAGCGGTTTCGCTTTTATTTTGATTACTGGTAACAGAGTTATTGGAATTATTCTTGTTTGCTACACCAAAACTTGAGCTGAATGCTGAAGAAGCACCAAATACAAATTTTGGCTTCTCTTCGATAGCAGGTTTGGATGTTTTATCACTTTCCTCGGTAGAGACATTACTATGTTTGTCATCTTTTGTGATTTTTTCATTTGTTGCTACAATTGTATCTTTAGCTAAATCTCCTCCAGATTCTGTTTTCAGTTTTTTACGATTATTCTCATCATCTGAACTATGTTTATCTTCGAGATTAGAACCTTCTTCATTGTCTCTAATTCTTTTACTAGTAATGTTTTCGTTCATTTCCAGAGAAGCTTCTGTATCAGCAACTGTTTCCTTCTCCACTTTACCAACGTTCTCACTCATTATAATACAACTTGGATTTTAAATCTCACTGGGATCACTCAATTTAATAAATAGTTAGTATTAATCCAATCAATAAATGTATATTCTCAATTAACTGAAATGTCTTCACTTATCCTTTTCCTTTTCTTTTAAAGCCTGCCTGCCAAATTAATTTTTCAATTTTCGGTTTTCAAGATTTTATTAAATTTGATACAATGCCATACATAATGCATAATGTAATAGACACACATATATAAAAGTTTAGAAGAAAAGTAACCAAACTGAATTATTCCTATGTAATGGAAAGAATTTCAATAATTAGCAGAAATATAATATTTTACTAGAATATTCTTATTAATTATTGTATTTTAGTTGGAAAGTACATGTACAAAAGAAAAATATATACCCAAAAAGAAAACAAAAGAAGAAAAAATGAATCTAAATTAGTAGTATAAATTAATTAATGAGTGAAAAAAATGGGACCAAAGTACATTCCATAGATTTGAGATCTATTTTGTTAATATTTTATTCACTGGAATACCTTCGTATTCACCGTAACCCAATGCTAAATTCATATTTTGCAAACATTGTGTAGCAGCACCTTTTAATAGATTGTCAATAGTTGCACAAATAACAACACGGTCTTGAGTATCATTCAATTTAAATCCACCAACCATTACACCATGGGTACCAGCGATATCCCTTACCAATGGTATATCTTCCTTAACATGAACTAAACGTTCATTTTTATAAAAGTCTTTGTATAATTGAGCAATGTGAGATGCAGTTAGAGAACCTTGTTTTATTGGCACTGAAACTGTTAATGAAATACCTTGAAACCATTGACCAACGTGTGGAATAAAAGCAACTTCTTTTCCAATATGTGTAGAAATTTCCTTCTCATGAATATGATTTGTTAATGAGTATGGAATTAAGTTATTGTTCAAAAATTTAGGATCATTTTTAGGAGATGGTTTAGTACCAGCACCAGAATAGCCTGAAACACCAAAAACTGTAGGTAAACCGGTTATGAATTCAGTTAGAGGAGCAATGGCAATCTGAGAACCAGTTGCATAACAACCAGGGTTGGCAATTCTTTTAGCCGATGAAATTACATTTCTGTCATTCAACTCAGGTAAACCATATGCCCATTCAGTTTGTGGAACAAATCTATGATCGGCAGATAAGTCAATGATCCTTGACTTACCGTTAACACTTTGAATAGCTTCAACAAAAGGTTTGCATATATTGTTTGGTAAGGCCATAACCCAAAAATCGACATCATTTTCGGATTCCAATTTTTTAACATCTTCAACTTGTAAATTCTCATAAATAATATCTGTTTTAGAATAATCTTTTAATTTTTGACCTTCTAGTTCTCTGGATGAAACATGGTTAATCTCTAGGTATGGATGGTTGTCTATTAATGATATTAAATTCTTGCCTGTATAACCCCTGGCGCCAATCAAGGCAACACGTCCCTTGGATTTGTTTGTACCATTAATTTTTGGCTCAGTCCTAGTTGAGTAGAATCTAGTAGATCTTCCTTTTCCAAATACACCACTAGTATTTGTGCCATTTGGAGAAACACTTTGAGAAGTGGCACTAGAAAATTTGGCGATAATTTCGGACACAGTATTCAAATCACTTACCCCATACCAAAATAATATTTTGCCATTTTTCAAGTAAGAACCTTGACACTTTGAAAAATGCCATGAAACGTTTGGATCATGCTCATCGGTAACCCATTGTAAACATGAAAATTCTCTTGTTAATGCGTTAAAGACATTATCAGATACTTTATTCAACCAAGCGGATTTAGAACAAATAAATTTATCCAAAGTTGGGACAATACCAGAATCTTTTACAATTGCAATTGCTTCTAAAGGTTCATCTGAAATTAATGTAAACTTGGAATCTTTTAGGGATTCCAAGTATATATCAATATTTTCACTTGTAGCAGCTAAATATTTATCTTTCTTTAAGGTATCTTTCAAAGTCTGGATATTCTCAATTTCATCCAAAGAAGTTTTCTTCGATAATTTATAACCTCTTCTGATCATTGTACCTGCACCAGAGTTGGTGAATAATTCTTTTTGTAAATCATGTACATTAATGATAGCGACAGAGGAAGAACGAGGTAAAAAGTCTAATAATTCTTTAATTTCTTTAATCTTTAATTTAGTACCGTATTTAACCCAGCTTTGCTTCATCAATTCATTATATTCTTCATCTAAGTTAATAATGGAGATTTTTTCTTTTGTTTCACCGTTAATAATACCACCTTTTTCATTCAAGTAAACAATTTTTAATGGTTCGAAGACTCTAGCCAGTTCACCAGCAGCCACATCTGCATTGACATTTAGCATTTGACCAGAAGGTGTTTCAGCAAGAGATGTTAGAATTGGTAGTGCACCTGCTTTTATGGAGGCTTCGATGGCATCTTTAGTAACATTGGTAATGTCACCGACTAATTTATATTTAGTCTTGTCTAAATAATTGGCGGTGAATACACCTGAAGTAATAGGTCTAGCACGGACACCTAACTGTTCTAAAGCTGTAACTAATTTCAGATTTTGCTCTAAGAAGCATTCTCTGACAACAGACATAGTTGCTTCATCAGTAATTCTAATTCCATCAATATAATCGGGTTCGATACCTTTAGACTCTAGTTTCTCATTTACTTGTGGACCAGTACCATGCAAAACGATTGGATATAAACCTACATGGTATAAGAATGCTAAAGAAGAAGCTAATTCCTTTAAGTTATCGCTAATAATAGCACCACCGACTTTAATCACAGCGAATTGTTGTTGTGAAACTGAAGTAAAATATTTCAAATATTGTTCAACTTCTCTTTTTGTACTTATATTGTTTAACAATTGTATAACAGTAGCTCTTGTATCACTAGATGTGACGCCATTAGTTGAAGACATATATCTTTTTGAATAACCAACTTTCTTCCTTGTAAAATGGACTTCAGCATTTTGCGATTGTTTTACTGATGGACAGTTTCTAGTGGTAACGGTAACCAAAGATCTTACTAAAGCAGAAGTTGTCTTTTGAAATTGAGCACAATTTAGTCTCTTTGCAGAGGATAGTAAACAAGTAGGTGGCATCTTTAAATCTAAAGTTCTTTAACCCCCCTTACTCTATAAGCGTATATCTAGCAATGAAAACACTATAAACTTCTCCTCAAAGAACTCTAAAATTGGAGTGATAGACAAAGAAATATATAGAAGTAAGTGTAATATATAGATATAAATGAAATAGACTAAGTTTAATATTAAATCAAGTTTTCAATTGATACCAACATCACCACCCCCATCTTAATATATATCATACATTGGATCATAAAAATGTTTCAAAATATCATCGACTAAGTAAAGTTTAGCCGACAATATGACCTGATGATGCAAGAAAGTATTGATAAACGAAAAAAGAGATAAAAAAAACAGAGTAACGTAGTAATAATGATAGTAATAATATCGATTTAATAGGTTAATTGCAACATTACTCCTATAGCTTCACTATTCCATTCCATAAGGATGACTGATTCAAGTCATTCTAACATAAATCAATGTAAGAATCCATTAACTACTTCTTTTTTTTTGCCCATTTCTTTCCTGTGAAGTGAGGTTTTTGGATATTTTTTTAATTTTGGCGAAGTATTACTCATCTCTTAACCTGATCTGATTTATTCCAATTCAACTATTGAATGAATGAGTAAATGACAAACAGCATAAATGTTTTCTTTTTAGTTTGATTGGGACTACGAGAAGATTGTGTTTAGCTTTGTTTGTCTTGTTTTAGGTATGGGGGGGGCCAAGCATCTCGAAGAGGTTTGATTGACTCATTTGAGTTTATTCTAATCTGATTGAATAGAGAACATTTGGCTATTGGATCTTTTAGTCACCTAAGATGAATGAACCCTTTTGCCTTATTGGATGACATTACCTTTGTATGGGACCTTCTTCTAAGAGAGGGATGAGTTCAAGCGTTGTTTGATAACTTTTCTAATACAATAATAGGTAAGGTTTCTTATTTATGATGCAATTTAAATAGTAGATGTAGATGTACATGTGGTTAATTATGTAGTAGGGAAGTATGGTATGTTCTATATATTGGTTATATGGAATTCACAGGCAGTATATAATTTATGTTAGTGTTACAACGTTTGGTTTGGTTTGGTTTGATTCTTGTTCTTTTTTCTTGTCTAATGCCATACGGAGGTCTGGTAGTTGGCGTCATTTCTAAAACTCAATAATCTGGAATGTTAGATCTATCTTGTTGTTTAGACTCTTGAGATCTGGCTGATCTTGACCTGTATGTGGTGCTTGGTTGACGTTCAGTTATTTCCGTTGATGCAAAATGTCTCGTTGAAGTGGATTCAATGGTTGAAGCTGTAGACGAAGTAAATGTTGAAGTTGGTGTATATGTATTATATCTACTACCTTGTATCGACTTTGTATTAGAAAATCTGCTTACTCGAGTCTGGTGTGATGGTCTGCCCGGAAATGGGTCCTTTCTCTTCATACCAGAAAACTCTGTTTCAACTGTACTAATAGATGTGATTTGAGATGTTATCTTAGTGAGTCTTTCTCGTTTCGTATATCCTCTTCCTCCTAACCCACCGCCAAATCTTCTTGGCTTGAAATATTTAACTGTTCTACCTCTTTCAATGTCAACTATACAATTTCTTCCATTTATTTCAATACCTCGATGAACACCTATCTCTTTACATGCCATTTTACTACTTAATTGATCAGCAAATACTATAAAGGCATAACCTCTCGAATTACCGAGAGGATTGGTCTTGGTTATTGTCTTTTTATCTCTAACAATTCTAACTTTTTCGATTTGACCAAATTTATTAAATAATTTCTGTAGATCCATTTCATTCACATCATACGGAAGTCTACCAACAAATATCGTTCTATAAGGATCAGTATCCTTGACATTAGGATCGTTGTTTGGATTCCATTTCATTAATTCATCATCTAATTTATTCAACTCATTGATTTTTTGGTTCCTTACAAGTTCATACTTTTGTAAATGTTTGTTATCTGTGCCTACCGGGAACTCATTCATATAATCAGTTAACGTATTATTCGACAGTAAACTAGAGACTCCTGAAATATTTGGATTGGTTTTCCTTTGATTTAATGGATTGTCAGATTGTTTGAGGAATTTTAATGGTGCTCTTGGCTTCATAAGCAAAGCTACATCATTTGGATACTTTGAAGCATTGTAAAACATCTCCAACTCAGATTTGTAATTATTAGATTGGCAAAGTATATAGTTTGTATATTTGCTTGATTCCTTGAGGCAACCTTATCAATGCTTTTTTAACTTGCTTTAATTTTGTTAGTTTTAACAATTTAGGTTGGTTTTTTTTAAAGAAAAATGAATTCTTAAAGCTTCGGGATGTCATAAATATCAGTTTAGATCTATTAACATACATTGTATGTAATGGTTCATTTATCATTCTCTAATTGATGTTTATGATTTTATCAAACTGTAATTCATTTCTACAAGATTATATTTATTATTTGTTTTATTTTTCAGGAATCTTAAATATATTGGGTAGAATTTTATATATTAATACATGATTAGTTTTCAAATTCCAACTTTTAGAAAAAAACGTAAAAAAGAATAATCCCAATGTAATAATATTCCGATTTTTAAATCTTACTTTACAATATCTTTGAATATAAAAAATGAAACAGCCTGCCATAGTCGACATTTCCTTGTTTAATTTAAGAAGATTCAGTTGAAGTAGTGACAAAGCTACGAATATTTGAAATTAACATCTATACAAGAACGTAATTAAGTACTCCCATGAATAAAGATAACGTAAAGTCATACTCATTAATTCAATATTAATAAGGGTGAAGAATTATATGAAACATCATTATTAATAAGGGATAAAGAAATGTTTCTAATACGAAATTATTTTCTTCTGACGAGTCAATAATATCTAAACATTGTATATAAAGTCTGATAAGATCTTAATTGACACTTATCATATGTACTATATTCCCATGTGTATATTTTATACTTTAATATACCGGATCAATATCAACTTATTAAAAATGTCCTTGCAAACAACTAAACAATCTAATACTATTAACGATTTTGTAAAGAATCCACAACCCTCTGATTCTCTACAACTTGTAACTTCCAATAAATGTGATAAACAACATATGAGATATCAATCCGCTTTCAAAAGAAGAAAGAAATTTGATTGGAATTTCAATTACACTGACTCTATATCAAAAAATGCGATATATTTTTGAGAGTCCAATTTTTCTAATTTCTATTTAATTGTAAATATTGTTAGAATATGGGATTGTTATTAATAAAATCTCGGACTCATAAGGATGTAAGTATTATCTAGGATGCTACATGCCGTACTTAGAATTTGTAATAGTGGTGGCTTACTGATTACTGGCATTATAGACATGAGTGGTGTAAATTAATTATCAAAAATCGAGATGACCGGAATATAAATTATTCTCATCTACCAATACTGCAACAATGCTGACATTGGTCATGCGACGTTTCTTATATGTATTATTTCGAGACTACTTCGAGGTTACTTTGTACGAACCTTGACAGTAAAGACATGTAAAGACATGTGTGTCATTACAAGGTTGTTGCTTCCATACTATTAACATTGGTATTTAAAGAGACTATTGTATATTATTGTATATTATTGTATATTATTGTATATTATTGTATATTATTTAGTATCTTACTTTGTACAACAAATGGATATACAATTACATTATTATTAACAAGTATATTTACTTTACCTTACAGATCTCCACCCTTAAGATCCTATAGAATACACGCCTAACAGCCTTCATTCTAACGTAAAACGAATTAAACATACAACTAAGTAATAATTAAAAGCATTATTAAGAGGCCAATCAATACATATAAAGCCATATTATCATGTCTCACGAGTGTCTGTCCGAAGTGAAAATTCTTCAAGGCATCTTGAAGTATAAAAGAACCTTATGTAACGTCATATATTAAGTAACTATGTATCAGAATAAAGAAATGATCCAGTTATCTAGTAAACCAGTGACAATGACAGTTAAGACCAATGCTACAAACCAGTAAACAACTATTGGAAGGAAAAAAGTTGAATCATCAAGGTATAATAATAAATGTCAGAATTATGAGGTAACACGTGATATATACGTATTACGACATTATTCATATAGGATAAAGAAATGTTACTTTACACGAAAGTGTTATTTCTGACGTTAAAACTTTTCCAACACTTTATATAAGAAATGACAAGATCTTAATCGACACTTGTCATGTTAATTATATTCCCATGTGTATATTATATACTTTAATACACTGGATCAATATCAACTTATTAAGAATGTCCTTGGAAATAAATAAAGAATCTATTACTATGAACGATTCGGTAGAAAAACCACAACATGATTCTCTACATGGCTTCCCCGCCAGGACTTCATTCAAAGAAGATTTGATACCCAAATTTACTGGAAACAGTAACGTTAAATTACTATTCAAGATACAAGAAAGTACTTGAAGAAGAATTAACAAAATATTCTTGTTACTTCAAAACGAGGAAATTATCTAGAAGTAACAAGATATTAAGGATAAAATCTCATATCTGAGAAAATACATAAAGACGAAAGTCTATTATTATTATCCGAAATAAAGTGAAAATAGTCTATCTATTGCCACTTTACAGGGAGATACTGGATATAAACTCGAAAGAGCTTATAAATTCCTGATTAATTACATTATACAAATCAAGGATCCAAAGTGGATAAAACCCCTTGGATTAATTCAAATAACCTTATTCTAAAAAATGTGATTAATAAAAACAAACAGTCCGGTAACAAAACAGTCAGAGTTGTAACAAACTCGACTAAAAGGTCAACCTGATTACCATAATAAGGAAGACAAAAAATCTAGTTCATGATGACGATATAGATATGGCATAAATCATAGATAATAGAGTAAAATGATGAATAATCTTCACAGGAGGTGAAGTATAGAGCGAAATGAGAAATTATACAACAAGTAATCGATTGCTAATAGCAAATTTCGAGTTAACGTGCCACTGACTCTAGAAAAACCGTTTAAACAGCGTATTAATATTACTAATAAGCAGGACACCAAAAAGGTTTATACAACACTGAGGCAGATGGAAA